AAGGCATATTCTTCACTGGTGTTAATGTTTATTTTATAGGTCAGTCTATTATTTGGCTGAAAGGTGACCTCCAGGATTGCGTCTATTTTTGTGCACTGTAGTTGCAGTGCGATTTACAGTTTTCTGAGCCCTTGCAATATTATTCTGGTCTGCTTCATTGTTCTGGCTCTGCTTCAGCTCTAGCTGGATCCCTGCTGGCATAGCCTGCAGAAGCAAAAGGTACTTCCCTGGGCTGCCTGGTGTCATTAGGTGGGGTTGAAAGATGCCAGATGTGCAGGACAGAAAAAGTTTCTCCTGGCATGTTCTCTGGTCTCCTACTGCCAGTGGGCTTCCTGCTCTAACTCTGCCAGTACTGCTGAGGAAGAAGGGTTGGGAGATCCCAAGCCTGGTTTACCTTCTGCTGCTGGCTGGGTTGCCTTCTGCCATTGGGTAGAAGGCTGCAAGACACTTGGTCTGGATCTTCTGCTCCTGGGTAGAAGGTCAGGAGCTGCCAGGTCTGTGTCTCTCTCTGCTGTTCGGGGAAGATAAGAGCCTGCTGGCATGACCAATGCAGGTAGAGGGGCCTGCCTACTGCTGTCAGGTGTGCGGCACAGGAATGGTTGCCTTCCTGGGTTCTGCTGTTGCCACTCCTACAGACAGACTGACCCAGTGCTGTTGCTGGCATATGTAGGACCTAGTGTGTGCTGGCCCTCACAGGTACCACTGTGGGCAGACTGGGCTCAATACTGCTGGCAGATATGGGACATGGTGTGGGTTGGCCTGCCAAGGTTCTAATGTTCCTGCTGCGGTGGGGAGACTGAGCTTGCTGTTACTGGGAGGTGTGGTATGGGGTGGGCTGGCCCCCAAACTCTGCTGGCAGGCCAGCTGCTGCCACTAGGTATCAGTCTTCTCACTAAGTCTCTACTGGGCTTTCCCATTCCCAGTCCTTTGGCCAAAGTGAACAGGCTTTTCTTGTTTATTTAATGATTTATTTTTTGTCTATGCCTACTGGTAGTTCTGGGTTGCAGGCCTCTCTGACACCCAGTCCAGGATAAATGGAAGATTAAAAAAAGAAAACTCAGGAAACTCACTGTGCTGTTCTTCAAGTTCTGAGAGCCCTAGACAATCCACCTTCTTCTTTCCACACTTTAAAGTCCTTTTATGTTTCTGTTGAATTATTTCCAAGGTATTTAGTTGTATTTAGAGAGGCGGAACAGGTAAAACTGAGTCTATACCATCTTGTCCCAGAATCCACAACTGTATTTTAATGGACTTTTAAACAATATTAAATGGCTTGAGAGATGTCACCATATCTTTCTCCTCTACATTTTCAGGATGTATGTATTAAGCTCTTACAGTGTTAAAGGCACTGCTCTAGGCTCTGGGGATCCAGTGATGAATACAACGGATAAGTCTCTATCACCTGGAAACTACATTTCATGAGGGAGGAAAAACCTACAAACAAGTAAAGTCTATGTATTACCTAGAGGTTGTAGGGGACCTTTTAAGCCAATTCAGGAAATCCAAGAGGTAAATAAGACAGACATATTCAATCAACCCAATATCTATTAGAATTTGTGAAAAATACTTGTATTGATAGTTTATGCCACAAAGCTTTTAAACAGTCATCTCTTCCACCCATGCCAAATAATGACAACTTTTGAAACTGAGATAACAATGATCTTTATTAAAATTTTGTTGTCAGGCAAGTAGCACTTAGGCCAAATATAAATATGTACGGTGATATAAAATAATATTTATAAGGAAAGAAAAAGATGATAAAAATATAGACTTGTGGGGGAAAACTAGGTTGCAACTACTAGCTGTGTGACCTTGAGAAAATCACTTAACCTCTCTAAGCCTTGGTTTATTCACCTATAAAACGAGACTGAACTAGATTATCTCTATGGTTCCTTCAAGCTTCTAAACCTTTCTACACAGCTGCAACCAATATGAGAGAAGTATACGTTCTCAACTATTTTTCACACTCATCCAAGTAACCATTCCTTACAGAAGCTGACCCCTGGGTGGTGCAAGAGTTAAGTGCTCAACTACTACCAAAAGGTTGATGGTTTGAACACACCCAGAGTGGCAATTTGCTTCCAAAAGGTCATAGCCTTAAAAATTATGCAGTGCAGTTCTACTCTACACACATGGGGTTGCCATGAGTTGGATTCAACTCGACGACAACAGTTTTTTTCCCCTACAGAAGATGAAACTGAGAGAATCCACATCAATACTTTACCTCTAGGTCCTCAACCTACATCACAAAGTCCTTGGTAATCTGTCTAGTGTTTACATACATATCTACAGGTATAAAGAAACCTTTCTGGAAATATTCCGAAGAAACCATTAACAATAGTTTACACTGTTGTTATCTTATCATTTGATTTGTATTACTTTTTGTTTTTAAGGCTATACACACAGTTGGGTAAAAATGAAAATGAATCATGATGCTTTGGCATTGGACTTAATACCTCATTAAGTAGTTGTACAGTTGTCATCTCCCCGCCACCCCCAAACCTCCCAAGGAATTAGAAGCTTGCTTTAGAAAGAAAGGTTCCAAATATCTGGCCATAATAACATATTTTATCAGGTTCTAAATCATATCGTAATTGATGATTTTTTTAATAAGAATATTAGTTGGAGGATTACTGTCATAACACAAATTCATTTATGTTGCTGAGTCTTCATCATTAAAGCATACCTAATTAAATCTCCCACACAACACCTTGGCATTATACTAAAATTCTGATTTTAAGAAATCATAAAAGTAAGCTATTTGTCAAGGAGAATTTCTAGTTCTGAAAGTTACTGCTTTTTTTAATCAATCAGGAACCCCCAATTAATATTATATGTAAAATGACAAAAAAAATTTAAACTAGTAAGATAGTTTAGCATTCAAATTAATTTTATTTTGTATCTTCATAAAAAAATTTTTACCATATTTTTAGTTAGAAAGTAACTGTCAGTTCAAAATAAGGAAGTCTGAACACTGAAAAAGAGTAACGTGTATGGATGTATTTTTTTGGTCTCTTATCCATTTCTTAGGCGAGTAAGGTTCTGATCAAAAAACTTAATCTTTTTATTATCAAAAATTAAACATAGCATTTAATTTTAAATTTAAAACCTTTTAACCTTGAATTTATAATCTTGTGTGAGATATTTCACATTGATTAGATTCTACCTAGCCTAATGTTCTATGAAAGCAGCATCAAGGGATTTCTGAAGAAAAGTATGGATGCCCCAAAGTTGAAAGGACAGACCACAAATATCTCTTTCTTTAATAATGAAGTAATTATAAAATTATTCATCTTATAAACATGATTTGAATTACTTTTGCTTAGATGCATTACCTTACATACTGAAGCTCAACCAATCCTTTTTTAATCCTACCTAAGTGACCTTCAGCAAATTATTTAACCTCTCTGGAGCCTCAGCTTCCTTATCTATGAAATGAGAATTATAAAACTGTGAAGATTAAATGAGATAATACCTATAAAGAGCTTGCTATATTGTCTAGCACTTAGTATATGTTCAATAAATGTCAGCTGTGACTAACATTTGTAAATTTGCCTGCAGTTCAACCTGATAAATTTGGCAGTTTATTTATGTCCATAATTCCTCCTTAGGAGCAGTGGTGATTCAGAATTTTCATTCACTCCACGGACCCTGGTTTGATTCCCAGCCAATGCACGTCATGTGCAGCCACCACCTGTCTGTCATTGGAGGCTTGTGTGTTGCTATGATGCTGAACAGGTTTTCAGTGGAGCTTCCAGACTAAAACAGACTAGGAAGAAAGGCCTGGTGCTCTATTTCCGAAAATCAGCCAATGAAAACCCTACGGATCACAGTCTGATCCGCAACCAATCATGGGGATGGCACAGTACTGGCAGCATTTTGTTCCATTGTGCATGGGGTTGTCATGAGTTGAGGGCTGACTAGGTGGCAGCGAAACAAACTCCTCCCTAATCTACTCTGGAAAGTATTCATGGTCAAAAATTATAATGGCAAGCTATATTGAACACATTTATATGTGGATGCTGAATTTTACTACTGATAATAGAAAAAAATTTCATTCTATTTGATAAAGTTTACTAAGCATGTCCCTTGAAAACATAAATAGGTATTTTTTTAAATACTGTTAATTTGATTTAACACATATGAATTTCAGGGCAGAAAAATATAAATGCCAGAATTATAGGAATAAATCAATGACCATCATGTAAGCAGTATCTTCATATAACAAAGGTGCAAAAGCATCATCATCGTATGCCACAGTAGTATTAGAAATCTGCTAAGAATCTACTATACCACATTGTAACATCCTGAAGATATAAGTATATTATCTTCACTGTCTTTTGGGACTGGCAGGGAAGTAAATAAGAATATCAATAGAAAGAATAATTAAAGAACCTAAAGTAACTTTTTCAAATGTCTGTAGTTTATTTTTTGGTCTCTTTAGTCTCAGTGTCAAGTATTAATCTTATTTGTAGCAAGAACCTTTATAAACTCTATCTTATATACGTTACTGTACTTTATATGTACTTTTAAGATTTTTTAATATGAGGAATTTAAAAATAAATACAGAAACTCCTCTACTCCAACATATGTTAGGGAAAAACAAGTATGTTTATATGGTGAATATCAATCTGGAAAAACAAGCTTCTGCATTCAGCAAAGTTAAACAAATATTTATTTTATAATATGAAAGATACCCTGCTAAGTGTTCTAAGGTTAGAGAAAACATACCCAAAAAAAAACCAAACCTGCTGCCATCAAGTCAATTCCAACTCCTAGTGACCCTTTAGGATAGAGTAGAATGGCCCCATAGGGTTTCCAAGGCTGTAAATCGTTATAGAAGCAGACTGCCACATCTTTCTCCTGCAGATTACCGGGTGGGTTTGAACCACTAACCTTTTGGTTAGCAGCCAAGTGCTTAACCATTGTACCACCAGGGCTTCTTTAAAAAACATATAGGATCATCTATTTATAATATTTGAGAAGAATCAATTTGGTACCTTTCATGGCCTCTTCGAAAGAACAAGGTCTTGCTGGACTAGATACTTCCTTCTTCACATTTACATTCAAAGTACCAGCTGTTGCTATTAAAAGATAAAATGTATTTACTTTAACTTATTCATCCTAACAAATGTGTATCTTAAAGTTCTCTAATTAGAATACTTTCTCACAAAACATCATTAAATTATTTGTTTAGCAGAAATTCCAGGTTGAGATGAGTTTTTGTAATCAGCAGTCTGTTCTCTAGATTTGCCAGTAGTCAAGTGGGCAGAAGCATATGCTCACTTACAAAAACAGCAAAAACCAAAAAACAACTTAAACAAATCCTTCTTGCAACAGTGTACATATTAATGGTATCAGATAAGTAGAAGATTGATATTAGACATTCATAACTTATCAAACATACTGCAACACTAGCAAAAAAAAAAAATTCACCATTTACCTATTAAATGATTTAAGAAAAAATGCCTACTCAGAAACATTAGTCAAAGTTTAAACTGAATTAAAGTAACTATGATGAACATACTGAATGTATAGAATTATGATTACTCTTTTGGTAAAGTCTTAAAAAAAAACTGTCAATATTAATGGAAAATTGCTGGGCTACTATATATAATCATATCAACTACATCTACAATAACAACTTTAAATTTGATAAGCCTAAGAGATCAGTTCTAAACAATAAAGTTACATAAATTACAATTAAGCAAATTCTTGCTTAAAATGATTATTTTTATTTAAATAAATTTATATTTCTCAATATATGTATTTTTTATTCTGTAAGTTATTTCAAAACGGCATTTGAGTTAGCTTACTTTCAATTTCTTATTCTTGACATGACAATGTCAAATGACAGTTAAACTTCATTGAATAAAGAGACAAATAAAATTGTACACATCTTCTAAGAATTAAGTTAAATAATTTATCTTAGTAAGCATAGTGGGTCTGACAAATGATTTATAGGGAAATGAATGGAAAACACATCCATATACAATTTAAGCAAGACATTAATAATTACAGATTTAAAAACAGAAACTAATCCTTGAGAAAATTTTAAATTTCTACTTTTAAATCAAGTTATTAGTAGTTTGTTTTCAGAGATGCAAAAATTATATGAATATATATACCCATTTCTTACAGGAATTACCATTGTGGAGTCACTGAAAATAACATCTAACATTATTTCTGTATCTTAACATTGTAGACCGCTGGTGGTGTAGTCGTTAAGAGTTTGGCTGCTAACCAAAAGGTTGGCAGTTCAAATCCACCAGCAGCTCCTTGGAAATCCTACAGGGCAGCTCTACTCTGTCCGATAGGGTTGCTATGAGTTGGAATCTACTGGACAGGTCGGGTTTTGGTTTCTTAATGTGGTAAAGTAAAAAAATTGAAGGTGCTTTAAACAGTTCAAAGCTTCAGGGACCAACTGGGAATGAAATAAAGGTTTTAAGATTCTGCCAAGAACTAAGTGCCTGAGAGCATGCATGTAATATGTATGGGGTTTGGTGGTATAGGCCCAGAAAGCTTCAGAGGGGCTTGTGTCTGACAGTGTGTAGAGTCAGGATATGTTCACTTGAGCCCTCTCCCACCCCATCTTTGGCCATGTACCAAGTACTCAGTATCCCAGAATTCCCTGTACAAATATCCAGGTTGTGTGTGCTCTCTTAGGCCTACAGGGTAGACAGAGCTTGGAAGCACTGGCTGAGGCATCAAGGCCCTCTAGGTACAGAATGGAGCCAGGAGTGGGAAAAGTAGGGTGGCAGGCCGGGGGTCCCTTTCCCCATTATGCCATCTTCCAGCTTGGAAATGAGTCCCCTAACATAAGAATAAAAGCAGTATTTGGTGGCTGTCTTGTTAGGAAATAATACCTGATCCAAAACAAACTAGTTATCAATTCATCTTAGTGAATAAATTTTTCTTTTGGTTGGTTAGTCTTCATATCCTTTCAAAGAACTAGAAATTAATCATTCATTTTAGTTCACAACTTTTCATTTTGACATACCTGGGTCTGGAGTGTAGGTGAATGGCTGAACATCATGAGATCTTCCAGCATTGGTCACTACATAAATTCCCACTGATACAGGCAAAGTTATATGTTGGTCATGATATGGGGGAACCTTCACAATAAGATGATTCTAATTTAAAGAAAAGTACAAGAGTCAAAAAAAGAAGCAACATTTAAATTTCTGAAATGAAACAATTTTTATTTAAGTACTCTTAGCTATAAAGTTTAAAAAATCTAATTAAGAAAAAAATGTATTTCAAAACTCAGGTTCACAGAAATCAGAACATTCATCTTATGGCCACTTTTAAGGCAAAATCCCCTGCGTTGTCATCTTCATCTCACTTCCCACTTTCTTCCTCACTCACCGCACTCTAGTCATACTGACCTTTTCAGTCCACTCTTAAACTAAATTTACTTTTACCTAAGAGCCTTTACACTTTCTCTCTCTGACCGGAATATTCTTCTTCACCTTTTCAAATGGCTTCTTCCTTTACCCACTTTTAGGTCTTACTCAAATGTCAACCTCCTGAGAGAAGCCTTCTCAGGCACCCTATTTAATGTAGCACCCCTCCGTGACCTTATCATATAAATCTTGTTTATTTCCATAATAGCACTTATCACCACCTGAAATTACTATTACTATCTGCTTGTTCTTTTGTCTCTCTCCAACTGCAAGAACGTAAAACTCCCTGAGGACACTTATATTTAAAGTTCCAACTTCCCCTAAGCTATTCTTTTTTGTTATTTTTTAATATATAAAACATCCAAAAATTTTTTTCTATTTGCCCACAAATAACTACTAATTCCTTATTTGTTATTCTTACACTCTAAAAAGTACCATGGAAAGAACTCAGAAGACTAAAGTATGAGAAGTGACAATCTATACAATTCTCTATTTTTGATACACTAATCCCTCTGCTTCATGCTTTCTAAAACAAGTTTTTGTCAAATTGTATACTTCTTCCAACTTCTAATATACCTGTTTTTAGCTTCTAGTTTCTTTTTACTTCTGCATTTCAAGCTGCTGAACTCCTTCCTTCTTTCAAAACTAACTTATCTTAAAAATATATATTCTAATACGCAATTAGGCCATACAGAATTCATCTAAAGTTGTTAAAATGAGAGTAGATATAATGACCATGTGCCCATCACATCTGGTATATAGGAGCATGGGATATATCTAGCCTTGACTAGAGGAGCCAGAAATTAGACAAAGAACTGTCTTCCTAGACTACATTAATCTCAACTGTTATATAATAGAAAAAGTTTAATACCTGATGAGTTGATTTGGAGGTTGCAAATAAATGACTATTACAATTATTCATAACTGGAGTTTGCAGAGTTACCTTTAAATGGTCTTTTCTACTTATACCATCTTCTGGGAATTTTTTAATATTATAGTTGCCCTTTCTACTTTTATGTGTAGGCCTGATATTTCTTTATTGACCACACCCAAAGATTCTTTTCTTTCAAAATATTTTCTCATCATCTTTCCCTCTAAATGTTTGTTTCATTTCCTTAATATAATGTCTAGAATCAATTCTTTATATGGCAATTCTGATTCCACTCTAAGAAAATACTTCCCAGAAAACCTCTTAGGAAAAAAATGAAAGTCAAAGCTCTCTATGAAAAAGATAAAAATTTTAAAATGAAAAGCAGAACCACAGAATTAATGAAAGATCACATTATGATTTAGTTTGTTTACATACTTGGCTTGCAAAAACTCCAGGACCTCTAAATATAGTCACCAAATAAGGACATAATTCCTTTCCATTGCACCACGTCTTATTTTTATAATTATTCTTCTGTAATCTATTGTAGCTGGTGTCACAACTGCCCTGAAAAAGTGTTTTTAAAAATGCAACTAGCCAGTGCCTCAAAGGTAAAGGAAGGGAGGGAGAAAAGAAGGGAAGGAGTTCTTAATATTAAGTTCTAAATGAAACAGTAAGTTAAGACTATAATTTGTCGGGGCTATTAATATTTTGTATAATATATAAGTCCCTCCATCTCCAGAAGTAGTTTTCTTATCTATAAAACTGCATCATAAGATAAAAGTAAGAAATAACATCGTAATGGAATACAGGCAGTCCTCGGGTTACGAATGAGATCTGTTCCTAAGTCTGTCTTTAAGTTGAATTTGTAGGTAAGTCAGAACAGTTACATATGGTTCTTACTTAGCGTCAGTCAAATGTTTGTTTTAGTATATAGTATACATTTTACCTTTCTAAGCATATAAAACACTTCCAAATCATGCAATGTTTTCATGAGTGTCAAAAAAGTAGTGTGTTCGTTATTACGAACCACTGTATTTAAATCAAATTTTTAATATAATAGGTTTTATGGCAGTGAGTTCTTAAGTACAAGTTGTCCCTAAGTTGGACATTCATAACCCAGGGACTGCCTGTATCACAAGCAATGCATCAAAAAAGAAAACATATTCATGCCACACGAAAGTATTGCAAAGATAAATTAAGCTTCAGTCAGGATCAAAACACAGGCATACAAGAATCTGGTTGAAACTAGGGTTTGAAGTGCCCTCAGAAAGAAGAACAAGGGACCTTACACCACAGAGAGATCTTTTCTTCAGTGGTGAATAAAATGAACTAACAAGCTTTTCATGAGTATATATTATGTGCTTGGTATTATGAAGAACACAGAAGAGGTACAATACATTGTCCTTAATCTTAGCAGTCCTCCAGAGGAAGCCATTGCTGATTCTTGGGGAGTAGAATGGTCTGACCAACAAGTTATACATGAAATCATAAAATGCCAGAGTTAGAAGGTGTCTCAAACCATCTAGTGAAAGAGCTTATTTTAAGTATTAGAAAACTGAGGCAAAAAAAGTGACTTGTCTTACTTAGATAACAGATTGTTAAAGACAAAGCAGGTACTAGAACTTCAGTTATGACTAGTCTGGCAATGAACCCTAGCAGAGATTGTCCAATGGTGTATGTAATAAAGGAATGACTTGAATCCCACTATCTCTTTTCCACAGCATGTAGTAACATAAGGCTAGAGGAAAATGTTCTACACAGCATTTGTCTAGGCATATAGGAAGCTCCACTTTATATTATATACACTGTCATAAATTTTTATTAGTTTTTTTCAATATGCAAGGGAATTAAAAACAAACGAATTACAAACTTTTTTTTATAAATTGGCTATAGATTCTTCAATTTTTACCTCTTCTACCTCTCCGCTTGCTTTCATATGGTCTTTTCTATCACCCTCTGCTCTTTACCCTAAATTTTTGCTTTGGATAATTTTACACATTAGCTTGTTCCTGTTTTTCTAGTGTCTATCTCTGTGATCTACACCTGTACATATTATTCTTCTGCACGTGCAATTCAACCTTGCCTTCTATCTGCATTAGCTCATAAACATGGCCTTCACATCTATTAGTCTTCACCTCTATGGATTTGGTCCTATCTGTTCTACAACCAGATTCTTAATTAAGTCAAGTTTTTATCCTTGTTTCCAAGCTCTTTTTACTTGGTATTTAGAAAACAATACATGATGTGGTCCTACAAATACAGAGTTTTTAATATTAAGTGTAACAAACAGTGCTTCTGAATGTAAAAAAGGTAACTGTAACAGACATAAAACACCTGGCACATAGCAGGTACTCAATAAATACTAGTTTCCCTTTGATTTAACTATATAGTATGTTTAAATAATCCAAAATTCTCAGAGCAAATAAACAGTAGGAAAGAATGTTTCATTTATTAACAATGATAACTTTGTTCTTTGTGGTGGGAAAGTGACTTAAATAAAATTGATAAAATTTATGTTCTTAAAATTTTCAAATAGAAAATCAGTCACATTTCTAGCATCATTGGAATAATTCTATCTCAGTGAAGAAACTCAAGAAAGAAACTTTAAATGATTCACACAAATCTTGTTATAAAGAAGAAATTTAATCTGTTGGCTCAGGAAAAATTCAGAACAAAACTGAATTTCTCAGAGAGTAAACAACCAAATTATAAAATGGTTTAAATTATACCTGATGAAATAATTCCATGTCGATTTCAGCTTCTGACTTCCAAGAGTTTTCATCTGATTGAAATAAAAACAGTGACTTACTAAACTTTTGAAAAATGTTTTTATTCTGTTACTATGACTATATCTTTATTACAAAGTGAAATATGCAATAATCCCTGTACCCATATTATGCCTACTTACCAGAAACATTTTCTTGGAAAATAACCTTTGTTCCTTTTAGAAAGTTCTTGCCGATTAAAAACACTTCTTCTTCTCCTTTCACTGAACAGCTATGCAAGCTTTTCTTTAAGATTTCTGGCACTCCTGCTGGCTGAGCTGTGGGTATACATAAGCATTCAATTAAAAAAAAAAAAAAAAGACTACACTTCTTGTGTAAAATCAACTTTCAATTATCCACAACTATGAGCTGTCTTTGTTGACCACTGCATTTAACTTCCTATATTTTGCAACTTAACTTTTACCTTAACAGAGGGCAGAGAAAAAAACAGGAAAGTCTACATTAATTTTTAAACCACCATGGAAGATTTTATATAGATAAATTAATGTCTAAGATTAGGTTTCAGTTAGATACATATCATCTTTGTTTTCTCGTTAGATGAAATAAGAAGGTTAAAAAATATGAATTTGGTCATGCCTTGTCTTAATATTTTTTAAAAAATTAAAGTTAAAAACAAGCTTGTTCCACAGTCCTAATCTTAAAAATGTCAGCTATGACATGCCATTATACGACTTCTGAGGCAATGAGCGCCATCTGGGTGGTATTGAGGGCAACTTTAAGGATCTAGGCAGAGGAGGCGCAGGCTGAATACCAAAAGAACATCTGAAAATGCACAGACTGAATCCAATTCAGAATAACTCATTCTACCAGGAAGTCTCCCTAAACAGGGATATTCTGAGGTCTAAAAATAAAATCATTTATTTTTCAGTTACAAAGGCTAACTAAGTACTACTAAAATTAAGGAAGAGTTTGACAAGTACTGAGGAGCCAGATGTAATGAATAAACTGTTGTTAGTCTACCAACTTCCTTCCTTATGCCAGGATTTCTTAAGAAAATTAGGTAGATATCGCTTAGAAAAACAGGTTCTGCAGACAAGAAAATCTGGGAAATACTGGTAAGCAAAGCTAAATGAACAAAAGGGTTTCTCCAAGTTGTTCATATTCTTGTGTATATTGTAAATATCCAAGAAGCAGGTATAGTATATAGTTTTCCCAACATATTTGACTCCAGAATTTTTCCTCATTGACACCTCTAAGGACTATTTTTCCACCAAACTCTCTCTGGGACACTGACTTACGTAAATAAATACATTTTAAGTACTCATAACTTCATTCAAGGTTAAGCACTTTATCATAGATTACACTACTTGTAAATTTTAGTAAATGGTTACAACATATATACTGTAAACTTAAATATGGTTTGTCTATCAATTTCTGAATTAACGATATGTTTCACTGAACTTTAGGAAAATTAAGTTTTAGCAGAGCTGCTTCCAGCCGCAGTCAATATATCATAAAGTGAGCAAGAAGTAAAACTTTGTTTTTATAAGCCACTAATTTTTTTTTTTGGTTGGAAGTTACTGAGACATCGTTTAGCCTCTGATTGATACAAAGAAGTAAGTATCCTATCCTTGTTAAATATTTAAATAACATGACATTTTCAACAATTTCTGGGATTTTAAAAGACATTGTGACTGTATATACGTATACTCTGTCTAGAACCTACGGGTTATGAACAGAGTAGAAATGGTTATTGGTCATATTATATACACTTTTAAACTAAGAAGTAATTAACAACCAATTAATTTAATTGTAAGGTAACTTTTTGGGGAAACATAGGAACTAGGTATTTGTTTCTAAAAGATATTCAATAAAAATATGGTAAATATCACTCTGATAACACAGCAGGTGCCAAACTGTATGAATATACTGCATTAACAAAATGAAAGTCTATAACCTTTCCCCGCTTTTCAAATACTATGTGGAAATTCCACTTCACTGATGACAAAACTTTTTTTCCTATCTTCTTTTTTCCCTTTTTATGTATTTAAGACTTAAGATTGCCAAACGAGGCCCCTCTGGAGGTACACTGTGTATGTATCTCCTACATCTTTATATTTATACTATACAAAGAACTAGTCTGTCATTATTCAAGGTAACTTTTTAACTTTTGACCTTTTAAAAGGTCTTTTCTATGAAAAAGTTTAATGGTTATCTAACAGGACTAACTCCACACTAAACAGAACTAAACTCAGGATTATTTGAGCATTAACTGTTTTATTTTTATCTTTTAAGCAATTTGTAAGCTGACTCTTGTAAGTGATCATATTGCTTAAAAAAATTATCACACCAAAAAAGCAGCCAGCTTTCTGCTATAAAAGGAATGCATTTTTATATGCTTCTCATATAACCCACCCATTGCTGTCAAGCAGATTTCGACTCATAGTGACCCTATAGGACAGAGTACAACTGCCCCACAGGGTTTCTAAGGCTGTAATTTTTATGGCAGCAGACTGCCAGATCTTTCTCCCTCAGAGCAGCTAGGGGGTTCAAACTGCCGACCTTTCAGTTAGCAACCAAGCGCTTTAACCACTGTACCACCAGGGCTCCTGTATTTCACACAGCAGTCTTGTTATGGATTGAACTGTGTCCCCCCCAAAATGTGTTGTAAATCTTAACCTCTCATGCCTGTGGTTAAGAGCTGGGCTGCTAGCCAAAGGGTCGACAGTTTGAATCCACGAGCCACTCCTTGGAAACACTATGGAGCCATTTTACTCTGTCCCACAGGGTCGCTAGGAGTTGGAATCAACTCAATGGCAACACGTTTTGGGGGTGGAGGGGGGAGAGTTTCGGTTAGCAGTCAAGCGCTTAATCACTAATGCCACCAGGGCTTCTTAAATCATTAAATTGCTAATTGTGCCCAAAATTTTAAGAGAAGGTAGGTTTAATTTCTATTATCCTTTTCCCGAAGTTGTGAGATAAGAAGAAATAAGAGAAAAGTTATATTCCGTCAGATTAAATTCTGTAAGAATTGTAAGATAAAATCACATATGTTAAATCTAAAAAAGCTATGATTATTTTGCTCTACTAAACAAAAATATTATCATAGTAGGGTGGAAATGGAACAATTATAAAATTGATATTCTTCATTTGATACAGTAGAATAATATAATACAAATATATATACCTGTACTGTCTGGAGAGCTATAAAGTTGTCAATAATGTGTAAGAGGATGATTCTTCCATCCCCTTAAAATCAAACAAACAAAAAGACAGGCAATGGATCCAATGGCAGTTGTTAAACCAACATTAATTAGAAGAGAAACGGGATTTTTTTTTAAGGCCATAAGCATGAATTCTGGAATTAGGCCTTCTTTCCACTGAGTATCTCCAGATGAAAGATCACGTATCTGTTTCCTCTCTTCCCTTCCGCCTTTATCACCTTTTGGCCCCTCTTCTATTTCTACCTCCCTCTCATCATCCTGTTTCCTTCTATCTCTCATTCTAACTCCGATTCTTCTTAGTGACTTCCTTTCCACCTCTCAGTTTATTACAACTGCTCAAACCTGCCAAGAAGGTTATATTCATGGAAATAAGCACAAACCAGAAGCCCAATATGGAACATTCTTATTTTTAATATTTTAAATAAAAACATCTTTTAGGTCTTTGCTTCACAGGGTATTATTTACATGTATATTCTTCTTCTCCTTCTCACCCCTCAAGCCTAAATTCAAGCCTCTAGCTCCTTAAGGTAGCCAGGATAAAATTCAAATTCCTTAGCTCAACACAAAAGTCTCTTGATGAAAGAGATCTTGCCTAGCTCTTTAGCCTTAAGTCTTACCACTTCTTTACGTACACCTTTTTGCTCTTATCACATTAAACTATTTTTAAGTCCCCCAAAATAATCATGCCCTTTCATAAAGTATATTTATACACTGTTTCTCTGCTCAGAATGACCTTCTTCTAAACTCCACTTTGCCTGGCTTACTTCTATTTGTCCTTCAGGACATAACACAAGTTTTACCATCTCCAAGCTGTCTAAATGGGATGTTCTTCCTTCCTATGATACCACTGCAACCTATTTATGCGTCTATCATAGCCCTTATATCATATTACACTTATATGTTTACTGATTTGTTTCTCCCTCTGGACTGCTAGACTGTAAGGTCCTTAAGCTTCCATCTCTTTATTTCCAGAGCCTGGCACATTGTAACTACTCATTAAATTACTATGAAGCTTTCCAAAACAGACATGCCTAAAACCTACCTTTAGAGATACTGATTAAGTGGCATGTCTTTTTCTTTTTTTAAGCATCACAGGTGACCCTAACATACAGGCAAGACGGAGAACCACTACATCCACATGGAATAAATGACTGAATAAATGGGCAATGAAGTACTATTTTGCCATTAGAATACTCAATTGTTTTTATCAAGTACTGTAGCCCCCAATAAGTGCCAACTGTTACAAGAAATCATCTGAACAATTTTACTACCTGCCAAAATGCTGAATGATCCCATGAATATGAAAATTTTAATAGTATATCTTATTTTTTCTGTAAAAATAGATTTAAAAAAGAACGACTAAAGAACAGATATAAAATAATGATTAAGTTGAAGAAAAAACTCATTTGCTTTCAATATCTTTAGAAAATGATATTAAAGTATAGAGAAATGTTTTAAAAAAAAAACTGTCATCTGTATGTCAGAAGATGGAAATTCAGAGAAATGTTAAACAAGAAACTATCTACCGTATAATCCAGCAATTCTACTCTTTGGTATATACCCAAGGGAAATGAAAACGTATGTCTACACCAACACTTATTTGTGAATGTTTACAGCAGCCTTATTCACAACAGCCAAAAAGTGGACAACCCAAAGGTCCATCAACTGATAAATGGATAAACAAAATATGGTATATCCATATAATGGAATATATTTGACCATAAAAAAACAGTGGAGTACTGATACATGTTACAATAAAGATGAACCCTGAAAACATTCTGCTACATAAAAGAAGCCCGGCACAAAAAGGCCATATTGTATGATTTGATTTATATGTAATGTCCAGAATAGGAAAATCCATAGAGACAGAAAGTAGATTAGTGGCTACCAGGAAATGGGGTGATGGAGAAATGGAGAGTGACTGCTAATGGGTATGTGGTTTCTTTTTGGGGTGATGATGAAAATGTTCTAAAATTAGATAATGGTGATAGTTGCACAACTTTGTGAATATACTAAAAACCAAAGATTAGTAACTTTTAAAAAGCTGAATTTTATGGTATGTGAATTATAATCTCAATAAACTTGTTATAAAAGGAAAAAAAAAAAAGAAAAGAAACTATCTTCTGTGGGACAGAAAGCATGAGCCTGATTGTTATCTAAATTTAAAACAGGGGAAGACTGATGACAAGGACCTTCCTCCAGAGCCGGCAGAGAGAAAGTCTTCCTCTGGAGCTGATGCCCTGAATTTGGACTTCTAGCCCACTAGACTGTGAGAGAACCCACTTGTGGTATTTCTGTTATAGCAGCACTAGATGACTAAGACATTCTCCTAATAAACTGTAAGCTATATGACTTAAGATCTATATCCCACTATTATGTTTCATTCAATCAAAATAAAATCCTTCCTATATTCTATAGTACACACCAGCTCAGAACAATGGACAAAAAAAAGCAGGTATCTTGAATAAAAAAGATTTCCTCCCTCTCCGATTATATAAAAAGTGAAGCTAAGCATCTCTATTCTACTAACATTACACAGTTGTCAGGACCAAATGGGATAATGTTTGCATTATTAGTGGGAAACTCCATTAGAGCAATACTAACTAGACAGAAGGAGGGACTTATACAATGTGGATTCGGAAGGAGGGCCAGGGCATGATTAGTTCAGCCCTCTCTCCCGCCCCGACCCCTCCACGTTATCTGCCTACCTATACATTTTATTCTGTTCGCATTCAGGCGGTAAGATCAACAGGTGTGTCTAGTTCAGGACTTAAGAAGCCAGCCCTATTCTCGAACAATTTTATCAGTAGTAAAGCTGGTATTTTCATCTCAATTTCTCTAACTCCTATGTGTCTAACTCTATTTCAAAGGGAACATTTATTTATTAACATCATAAGACCTCAAAATACATGAAAGCACTTTACAAACTATAGAGTACAATACAGAGATAAAGTATTACTGTTAAGCTAATATTAAAATCCCTTTCCCTGTTCATCTAGTTGAACATTTAAGCAAAAAAAATTCCTTTATGTACCAAAAAAAAAACTTCAAAAATTTTCATTTTGTTTGTTGCCAGTTAAGTAAAAAATAAAACTATCTAAACAAGCTACAGATCTCTGAACAGGATACACCCACTCCTCACTTACTGACATGATTAAATTCCAAAGACCAGCTCATTATGTGAAAATTAGCATTACGTAAAAATGGACAACTACATAAGATCACAAAATGGAGAATGACTACACATCATTACATAACTGTCAAATTATATCTTCACATAGCTGCCAAATTACATCATTACATAACTGCCAAACCACTGGGAATCATGGCCTAGCCAAGTTGACACATAATCTTAACCATCATAGCCAGCATTACTCAGACCTCAAACCTCGGCATTCACTACTCCCAGCCATACATTGGCAATGTGAAAAATAGTCAGTTAACGGATTTTTTACTACTGTTGTAAATGCAAAATATCAGATAATGAGATAGTTGATAAGTGAGCATTAGGTGTATTTACTGAAAAGTCATAAAGATCAAGTAAAATTACATTTCAAATATGGAATGACGGATTTAAAAAAATAAAATCATTAACCCATTAGGAGTGTGCAGATCAAGAGGCTTAGACTCTTTTCTAAACGAATGATTAGATCTAATTGATATTCATAGCAATTACTATTAGAAATATTTTGAACTAATTACACAATGTTTTAAGAAAAAATTCATTTTACATGAAATTCTATGAAAATAAGTAACAATAAGACAAATATGAAAATTCTTTATCATATAAACTTATTTACAAATTAATTCTTATTCTAGCATTTTCACTTTTAAAGGAGGCATAGGAACCATCACTGCAAAGGTGTCCTTTTCTTTAAAAGCAGGTACTGCCCAGGTTTATTTGATCCAGTTTCTCTAAGCAAATGGCAAGGTAAATGTCAACTAGTCAAATAAAGGAATAAAAATATATACAACTCCAAGATAAACAGTATCTACATAAGGAAACAGAAGGGACAACCTAGATATTCAGTAAAATCTCCTAATATAAATTAAGAGCTACTTTCTAAATTTATTGAAAAGTCTAAATTACAGAAAATAGATCTTCTGGGTAAAGGAAACAGTTCTCTAAATATGATTTCTGTTGCTTCTTAGGGCTACCAGATCCAACCCAGGTAATCTTTTGCAATGTAGACATATATTATCAATAATGACAATAATTAACAATTTATAATGATAATAATTACAGAGGAAAATTTTCAGAAAATCATGTTTTCTATTTCTTTTGTATTTTCCACCATCTTTAGTTGGATATATTCATACTTTAACAATACCTCAGTGAAATAGGAAAGGAAAAAATGAATGAACAAACTAATGAAGGAAGGAACAAACTATTAAATAAAATAGGCAACAATTTCCCACTCCCTGGCTCTGGCCTTCAGAATTGGCTATAGTCATGCTGAGAGTATTAGATTATGTAAAAGAAGAACTGTATATGCTCCACTAAAGCTGGAACTTTATTCTAATAATATTCAAGTTGGGCAAATCATGAATTACAGTAAATTTAGAAATGGTGCACCCCAATTAGAAAAGTTTTACAATGCAATAAACTATTTATGGATTGTTTATTCTGTCCCTACCTGAATGCAATAGAATGGACTCTATAAACTTTAAAAATAGCCTATTTATAGTTAAATATTCCCAGGCAATAACCCAAGGAAATACTAGTATTGAGACAAACTTTACATAATAATTAAAAATTGAGAAATCCAACTGAGCTCTCCTAAATTACAAAGATATTTCTAATACTTTCTTTTTAAAATTAGGGTATGTGCTGAGCAAAAGAATGGCTGTGGTAATTTTTGAACTGAATCAAAAGAAAGAGAAAAAGAAGATTTACAAAAGATGAATACTTTGACAACTGCGTAACAAAAGGCTCTGTAACTATACTAGAGGTAGCAAGGTAATAAAAACCATAGCAACCCAACAGAAAACTCAACTGAATGAACATTTCTCTTTTGTGCTTCTGAATTAGGTATAAAATCACAAAGAAACAATGCCAAAGAAAATAATCCTTGATGAAAATTTTCGTAAGTGATATATAAAGGAGAAAATTTTCCATATTACTTGTAATAATAATCATTAGAGAGAAGCTAGAGTATATGGTGTAGCACATACAACATGACTGAAAAAAAAAAAACTATTTTCTTTCTTTGACAAAGTTAGCAATGAGAATTTCATTTCCTACTTTCCAACACTTTACTATAATACTATAATTTATAATCAGAACTCCAACTTCTAACATGCTGTGTGTCTTTACAAAGTTCTGCTTACCTTACTCTATCTCTATGTCCTAGACAAAAAAGAGGATGACAGCAATTTACCATGTGATGAAGATGTCGGAAAAATTCTTTGGCTTTGCAATTTACAAAATGTTACTTACATATCTTTTCTAGTCTAGAAAATCTGACCCCAGCTTTTAAAATATTTCAAATTTTGCATGATCACAAGCTGGAGTTTGTGAAACATATGAAATTTAAAAATGTCTAAAAGATTAACAGAAAATTTTTAAAATCTCCATATATTTATTATTTTTCCCCATACAAAAATTTATACATACATTGTTATGGGACCCTACCTGCTCTCCCCATACTGTTACAGCACACTCCTCCTTTCCACCCGATTCCCCATGTCCATTCAACCAGCTCCTAACCCTCTCTGCATTCCCAAGTCACCTCTGGACAGAAGCTGCCCCTTTAGTCTCTTGTATCTACTTGAGCTAAGAGGCCCACTCCTCACGAGTATCACTTTATGTCTCACAGTCCAGTCCAATACCCTGTCTGAAGAGTTAGCCTCGGAAACTGTTTTAGTTCTGGGCTGACAGAGAATCCAGGGGCCATGCTTTCCGGGGTTCCTCCAGTCTCAGTCAGATCATTAAGTCTGGTCTTCTTACGAGAATTTGAGTTCTGCACCCCACCTTTCTCCTGCTCCATCCGGGGCTCTCTGTTGTGTTCCCTGTCAGGGCCGTCATTGGTGGTAGCCGGGCACCATCTAGTTCTTCTGGTGTCTTTGGTGTTCTTCATTCTTCTTTATTCCAGGTGGCTGGCACCAACTGATGCATCTTAGATGGCTGCCTGCAAACTTTTAAGACCTCAGATGCCACTCACCAAAGCAGGATGCAGAACATCTTCTTAATAAGCTGTTATGCCAACTGACCCAGATGTCCCCTGAAGGCATGGTCCCCAGACCCCTACCCCTGCTACACTGTCCCTCAAAGTGTTTGAATGTATTCAGGAAACTTCTTAGCTTTGGTTTAGTCCAGTTGTGCTTACTTGCCCTGTAGTGTGTGCTGTCCTTCCCTTCACCTAAGATAACTCTGACCTACTATCTAGTTAGTAAATAACCCTCATCCTCCCTCCCCACACTCGTAACCATCAAAGAATGTTTTCTTCTGTGTTTAAACCTTTCCTTGAGTTCTTATAATAGTGGTCTTATACAATATTTGTCCTTCTGTGACTGACTAAATTCACTCAGCATAATGATCTCCAGTAAAATCTCCATATATTTAATAGCTTCATATTTTCTTACTTACTACACAAAATTGGAGAAGAGGGTGTTTGTAGCGTCAAAGTGGAGCCATCTTTCCTTGTGATATTAACTCGGAAAACCAATCTGGCACGAGTGCTTTTTTTCTTGGAACCAGCAATTCCTATTCTGGCTTCAACATCAGCATTCCTTAATTTCAATATCCCTACACAGTCCACCCTAAAAAGAAATAAATGTATTTATTAACTGATATTTTCTGTTGTATAAATAATATAAAATTCTCAATTTATTTTTTTAATTTGCTTATTTATTAATTTTTTAAATACATAATACAGTCGTAAGGTTCCAAATTCAAAAGGTACAAAAGGATAAATTCTTGTCAACTTTTCCTTTATAATAATGGAAGAAATAGTAAAGAAGTAAAATTGCTATTTTAAAATCTGAACATAAGTAACAGCTTACAAGAGATACCTTTTTCCAGTTTAAAAAAAAAAAAAATTTAGACTCTTTTTGCAGCTAATTCAGCTACTAAAATACAGGTTATGGATTTTGCTTTGTAAAAAAGTCACTAACTGTCCAAAAAGGAAGGACTACTTGTCATTAAAAAGTATAACATTTAATGATATGGGAAAATGATCATGATATGTTAAGTGAAAAGCAGGTTACAGTGGGTATAGCATTATCTTAATTTTGTTAGAAAAACGGTTGGAAAGATAAACATCAAAATAATGGTTATTTCTGGGAAGTTGGGTTTTGAGGGGTGTATTTTATATTTTTATTATTCTGTATTTTCAAATTCTTTATAATAGATAAAGTACTATTTGTACCTGGGGCAGTTCTACTCTGTCCTAAAGGGTCACTATGAGTCGAAATCGACTCAATGGCAACAATCTGGTTTTTTTGGTCCTCTCCTAATATATACATTTATTTTTACAACTTTCAAAAGTTACAAGCTAAGTCTGGAAAAAAACTTTTACTAAATAGTTTTCAAAATTTCTCTTTTCTAATTAACCTCTTACCAATCTATTCAAAATGGCTTTCAAAAGGAAGCTGAAAATGAAGTAGAGAAAAGTTTTTAGCAGCAATCCAACATAAATAACTTAGGTCTACCCCATATCAGTATATTTGCTGCTATTATGGTACAGCTTTAGGATTAAAGATCTTTCAAAAAGACTTAAAGAAAATAATTAATACTTCTAGTATTTTTCAGGCAGTGAAAATGTGTAAGATGGAAAATACATAGTCCCAGGATATATTTTTTTAAAACGTAGGAAAATAAAAACAGAAGGTGAATTTAGACCAGCAATATGCTTTTCACATCAAGACAGGACAAGCTGCTTCATGGTCTCTGTTGAACAGTTTATAATGAAAACATTAAGAAAGAAGAATTTAGGAAAGCAAATCAAACTGTTAATAATTTTTAGTTTCAATGTTAATATAAATCTCAATAAATGAGTATTTAATTTTCCAAAAAGCTAACATTCCATCCGATGGGAATTCTCTAACAAAAGGCCATAAGAGATCATTTTAATCCATTACCATTCTGCAGAAATCTGTATTTTTTATTTGTAATGTTTAAAACATTAATAGAATGCTCAAAATCTTCTTCCATACACTAGAAACTAAAATTTTTTTCTGCCTACTGCAAAAGTGTAATACATAACGAAAAAATTCTCACTAAATACTTACGCCAGTGTCATGTTGTTGCTAGGATCAAGGCCAACTTCTATAACAGTAGTGCCTTCAATGTCCACTTCTTTGCAGGGAGTTGTATTTCTCCCAGTTACCCTGCAGGCCTGATAAAATCCATGTGGTTTCACTCGACCAGAGTCGTTACCCACAAACACTTGCAACACTACTGGTTCATTATGGCCTTCCAGCTGTAATCAGATAACATGCAGCAGAAACACTAATTAGTCTTTCAAATAATCTACTTGTAAAATATTTAAGATCAAGTTATATATTTGAAACTAGCATTACAATACTAAAATAATTTAAATTTTCAAGAAAAATAGAGGTAAAACAGTTTCATAAAGGAGAGCTAAGTTTCTGCAGAAAACCCTAAGTTTTAATTCTGCAATAATCATATTTTAATTAAAAATTTAGATATTAGATGATAAATATCATTTGTAGTTTATTTGTACAACCAGATCAGAATAAGCACAGAGTCCTTTAGGTATTTATAAATTTATGACAACAAATATGCTTGCTCTGATCCATGTACATGTATTTACTATGATGCTAAGGATAATCAGCGGTTTTGATTTCCATGATGCATTTCTAATTCTGATCGTTATGAAATGTGCAAGCTACTGGGGCAACCAAAGAAGCAAGCGGGTGACTCAAGACCTACTACCACCACTAATGGGAAAACTCACTAAACTATGTTAGTGGCATCATTTTCATCACCAAATAAGAGTACATATACTAAATTTTTACTCTATTAAAGCTATTTGAGTAAAAAAGTATTTGAGGTGCAGTTAAATAAATAATGGGGAAATGGAGCTCACTTTCATCGACTAGACACATACATATAACATCATGAAATCCTGGGCCAAACCACTATGGTCTGAAAAACTGCTATTGCAAACCAGGATTTATAAATCATTACAGATCTCTAGCAATCCTTCATAAATTAAATTATAATTTCTATGCTGAAGAATAAATAAATATTTAAATAGCATTTGGGAAGAAATGTTTCCAATGCTGACTCTTGATCAGGTTTATAGTTAAGACAAACACTGAAGCTGCTAATGTAGAATGCAGAAAGTCACAAAATGAGTTGTACAATGAACACCGAAGTGCTTTAAAAAACTCACACATCTTTTATATCCCAGTATAACTGTATCTCAGTGAAATGAGACATAATGAGGAAAAGAGGCACAGGCAAATTAGCCATCTACCCAGAGGGATAGCTCTTTTGACATCCGTTAGTCAGCAATACCCAGAACAGGCCTGGCACACAGAAGAGTGTAGTATTTGTTGAATGAATGAATAAATTTGATAGGGTCAGTCAATTCATTGTCTATCATAGTTAGGCAATTAATCTAACAATATTACATACCAGACAAGTACAAAGCATAACTTAAAGGCAGGGCAATCAGTTAAAAATATTGACCAAACTATCAAAATGTCTGGCTAGATAAATATTTACACAAAGTGTAACTTAAATTTCTCACTTGCCTGTTACTTGTCCTGGGTTTGGAGGATTGGGGATGGGTTGGGATGATGGGTAGTAAAGAGGGTTAAGAATAGTATGGTGTATGTGACTATGAACCAATCTTATAAATGGTCATGGGCAAGTTTCTTGATTCCAAGTTTGAACTGTTGTTTCATTCAAGTATAAAATGAAAGGCAAGCCAACTCTACTCCAAATTTGAAACACTGTTCAACTAACACATTTACAGGAACTAAACCACATTTAATAAGACTCTACCATGTGGCTAGCCAAAACTCCTGTTTAGTGTTTTATAAGGGGTAGGGACACTTGTTAAATATCCCCCTCCCTCATTTTTTTTGTCCTGAAAGAAAAATATTTTTGTAACAACATATCGCAGGTGCTGAAACCTAAGACCCTTTTTTCTTTTAGTCTGAGTTCTGAAAAGATAAAAACTAAATATCCTATTTCTTAAACTGAAGACTTAAGTTATCTATCTGAGTTGAATAATTCTGATTACTTTAAACCAAACCAAACCAAACCCATTGTCATGGAGTCAACTCATTACTTTAGTCATCTCAAAAACCTTATTTTCCAAGTCGTTAATAAATTCTACTACATTTCTTTAAATTCATTTTAAATTACTTCTTAAATGTAAAGTTTGAGAAGAATCTAGTATGGTCACTATCAATGTCAAAATATAAGAGGAAGGTAAATTCATGATTTCCGGATAGTTTACTTAACACAACACAATTTTCATCTCTCCTTTCATTTAAACTAAAATTTTAATGATATAAAAGTAACAATACTTGGCTTATGGTACAGTCTGACTTATACTTTACTTTCTGATATACAGCTAGTAATTATACCCACCTGTTCTAGGCAGCTTCTGCTAAGGGCAAAATAACTAATAACTGGAGAAAATCTTGCATATATTGCTAAATAAAATAAGTACCTTTACTGTAGGAAAGCCTTGCTGTGTTCTATCTTTTACAGAGCCACGGCTACCCTCAGTTAGGTACCGAGCTCGGTGCTGGGTCTCAGGTTGTACAACTATCTTCAGCTCCTTGCCCTCACTTTTAACAGGATATTGTCCACACAACATAGGGCTCTTCTTTACTCCAGCTCCTTTTTGGTTTTCCAATGTTCTGAGAAGCCAAAGCACACATGGAGAAAATATCAAAAAGAGTTTTCTACAGAAGTCATCTAAGATTAAAAAAAAGAAACAGAAAAAGCAATAACACTAAGAATAACTGCTTAGCTTCTGACATAATAAAATACAGTCTGAGAAAACATACATCCCATAAGCAAAGTCTCTTAAAATTTTGTAACAAAATTTAACTCAATGATGTAAAAATAAAAGAAAGTTGGACAGGGAAGAGAAGCAACGCATTTGTGCAGTAGGAGGAAGAGAGGAAGACCGAATGCAATAAACTGGGAATAACAGGAAAGAGAATAGCTAACGTCACTATAACCTTTCACACTGCACTTCAGTCAAAATAAACTTTAAAAATTCCATGTATATGTGAGTGTTATATAAAGTTACAGGATTAACTATTGTTTTCTAACTGGACTGACAAAACAGAAGAAGTGAGAGTAGCAAAAAAAACGCCTGAACAAAACTATCTGAAGGTGCGGATAGCATGTTCTTTTGGACATCAGTCTATTAAGTAAATCAAACTGAGAAAATTATAATAAAAATCATTCATTCAATTTTTATTGGGAAGTTAACTTTAAACAGTCTTGCACAGAAGCGTGATTTTTTTCAGAGTATTTTTATTTGTGATTAAATAATTAATCCTGAACTAAAGAAGCAATTATGCTAAAGTTCTCAACATATAAAAATTCTATCATGTGGACTTTACAGCATAGACAATCTAACTTATTTTTTAAAACTGTGTTTGTAAACTTGATATGTTTATCATGTGTTTGCTATGTGGAATGCATGTTCAAAGAAAAACAATATTTCAAATGGCGGTTAGGACTTCAGGCCAGTACATCTAATCTGTAAAAGAGCTGAAGCACTGAAAATATGTCATAAAAATAAGTAGAAAACAATACTGTTAATTAGCTTTTCATTTGAACAACATGAAACAGATTTAAAACTATTCATGTACATTTAAAAACAGAGTCAAGACCTACATAATGCATTCTGTATGACTGTCCTGGTCCAATGTTTTGACCCACATTGAAGATCCAGGAGCCAAGAGATGACTGTGGACAAAATCTTCAAAAGCAACCAGCTATCAAGAGGAGTATTATGATTTCAAACACAGAGGGGCAATGGTGGCTAAGCAGCCTTAAACCCAGTTCCAATGTTTATTTCTCTACCTCCAACCAAGTTCTTGCCTCAGTCATCAAGAACAAAGAAAGAGAAGGCAGTGTCCTCAATGGAACTAAGGACTTGGGTTCAACTCCATGGCTAGACACATAGCCAGTCAGAAAAATCTAGATTCCCTAGGGGAGCCACTTAGGAAAGAGGCAGAAGAAGAAAGAAGGATGGAACTGGCCCTGGAATATAGTAAGACTGACTAGATTACAGGACGAGTTTTAAAGGCAAATAATACGTTTAATTATCCTCATATTCCCTGAACCTTATAGAGTTCCTAAAACATAACAGGTGCTGAAGAAATGTTTGTTGATAAAGATAAATGGGAAGAAACAAAGAAGGAAAAGCAGAGGTAAGAAAGAAAAAAGGAGCTTCTATAATAGTAAGATGAGAAAGATCAGGTCCTAACTCAACAGGAAACGCCATTCATGTAAAGTGGACATAATTAAGTCAAAGATTACCTGTGTAAATCATTTACAAGGCCCTGAAAGAATAAATTCTACAAACAAAAGTATCATGTAGAAGCTGAAACACTGGGCAATAAACCCTATATTTATTTTCATCAATCTGGGTGGGAATTCAAACATTTGGTCTGAATACAGTGTCAGTTCCTACAGATGAGATTCTGTAACAATACTGTTTGATACTTGTTTTAAAATCAAAGCAAAAATATTTGTTTATTGAAACTATGTAAAAGCATCCCCCAAGTACGCGTAGAAAGACTAAAATAGAGCAAAACAGTAATAGCAATTGTATTGAGTGACTAAATTATGGGTTTTTTATTCTATTTCTGTATTTTCCATATGTCTATAATTAATATGTATTAATTTTATAATAGGAAGGGAAAACTTTAATTTGAAATATAAAGAAAATTTGTATAGCATATCAATTAATTTGGCAAGATAAGGTTTTTATATTGACTTATGCTAGACAAGCTAACATTTATGAGGGTAAATAAATGAAAATGCGTATTATTCTGGTAAAATATCTCACTTGGGATGAAGACTGAATTGACAAAGTACAGACATTATGGCTTAAAGAAGAATAGCCTAATGATAGTTTTAAAAGCCCTTAAGACTATCTCTACTCTTCAAGTTTAAGTGTAAAAATGGAATACAGATTTAATATACAGACACGTAAAACAATGAAAATATCAACAAATTCTTTGAAAAGCAGTCATTCAAATGACTAATTTTTAAGGTCTGATGGCTCACGATAAAACAAGAAAGTTGCAGTAACTGTATGGGATTTTACTTTTGGATGCCACCTAAAAAGAAACTCTACTATCTTGGTATATTCAGAAGTCTGAAAATAACATTCTATTTCCTTTGTGTTGCATAATCCTTTTGGTTGTCTATGTCACAAAATAATTCTCACTATAAAATGCCTAAAATAGGTTTCATATTCAGATGACATCATATCCTTGCTTCTAGGAATATCCAGAAGAGACATGAACTGCTGATCCTCAGGACATTTAGTTGAAAAATTTAAGAATGATATGTCTAGGAATGTTTAAATACTGAGCTTTTTTTTTTTAAATGGTTTTATTTTCTTAATAAGCTCTAACATTCTGGTTATATAAAAACGCTATGCTACCCATAGGCTGGCATAATTTCTACATGGTATCTTTAGTATCAATAAACTGCTATACAACATATTTGAAAATGCATCGTCTAAATAATTAGCATTATATAAATGATAAATTTATGGAACAGCAGATCCAAGGCTGTATACCTTTTATCTCTCAAAATATATTTAAATTTCATGTTTCTAACATCTTTCTCATTGTTGAAGAGTATAGCATTTTAGTTTGAGATGCTCTGAATAATTGTTTTTGAGGTCTGTTTCTCTGTATGTTTACATATGGTTTCACCCTTTCCTTGATATATACTGCTTGTATAAAAATAAAAATCTAAACCTCTTCCACAATTTTCATATACTAGTGTCAAATATTTTCTATTACCTAAAAAGTTAGGCCTGTTTCTTGCTGCTTGATGGAATTTTTGCTCCATGAATTATTTCAGGAGAGATTTTACCTTGATAAATGTCATACCTTCCCCAAGTAATCTCAAATCATTTCTAAGATATGTGTGTGTGTACGATATATATCATGTAAAAGCAGAAGCAGCAATCTCTAATTAGTAACTAAAGGTATCTCTTTAATTAGTAACTGCAAATCATATGTGTTGCATATCCGTAAGTAAAAATTTCATTTGCTCTTCATTTGACCCTTTAACACCTACTTCAATACAAAAATAAAAATCTCTCTTCTGAAATATTATAAGACTTTCTCTACTGAAGTTCAAGTAAACACATACGTGTATTTAATGATATACGTGAGTGTTTTAAATCTGTGCTACTAGTCACAATTACTTCAGTATTCACTTTGTGTTTTCCCTATGGTATTCATTACATTTCAGAACCTTATTCTAGTGCAACTGTATTTAACTACATCACCTTAAAGGCATTTTAAATGAGAGCATGCAAGAAAGTAGTACAGAATAGGTATCGCTTACACAATAGATATTACTTTCAAAATGTAGTGAGGGAATATTTAAAGATACATTTAATCTATATTAAGAATATTCTCTAAGATTACTCAACCAGATTTTTAACTTAAAAGATATCAACGATGTCATTAAGTAGGAAACCAGTAGGAAGCTTCTCAATTACCTTTCATGACAACCTGAAATTGTAGGAGATCCTGTGATCAACTAAAGGACCATATCCTGCTTCTCAAAAAAGTAATCTCTCAAAATCTAGCGAGTTAAATTTTACCAAACTATGTTGAATATACTGTAGGAAACATCTAACCAAAAAAAAAAAAAGTTTAGCAATTAAATATTACAATAAAAGCACTAACGGAATTACAAGTTAAAAATAAGCCATACTAGAGGGTCCTGGACAGAGCTGGAGAAGGATGTAGAACAAAATTCTAATTCACATAAAAAGACCAGATTTACTGGCCTGAAAGAGACTGGAGAAACCCCAAGAGTATGGCCCCTAGACACCCTTTTAGCTCAGTGGTGAAGTCACTTCTGAGGTTCACCATTCAGCCGGGGATTGGACAGCCCCATGTAACAGAACAGGACTAATGAGGCACAGAAGTCCAGGGACAAGGACTAGAAGGCAGATAGGGAACCCAAGGTTGAGAAGAAACAGTGCTCACATGTCATGGGGTTGTTAACCATTGTCATAGGGCAATATGTGTACTGTTTAATGAAAAACTATTTGTTCTGTAAACGTTCATCTAAGGTACAAAAAAAAAAAAAAAAATTATCTATGTGAGATCAAACTGACAACAGCAACTCAAAAGGTTTGATGAGAAGCCTATGGGGCAGTGAGTTGAAGATAATGGTGATGGAATAATTTGGAAAATGACAGTGAGAACAGCAGCACAACTAGAAGAATGTCATCGATGTCACTGAATTGTACATGTAAAAACTTTTCAAACAGTATAACTTTGGCTATGTATATTTTCACTAAAAAAAAAAAAAAAGTCCTCCAAGGTCGAGAAGGGAGAGTGTTGACATGTCGTGGGGTTGTTAATCAATGTCATAAAACAATATGTGTACTGACTGTTTCATGAGAAACTATCTGTTCTATAAACCATCATCTAAAGTACAATAAAAACAAAAATTTATGTTAAAAAAAAATTAGCCGTAATATTCTGTACTATAGCAGTGAATATTCTGTAATACAGCTATTGAGATACGTTTGGTGAGTAGCGGCAAAGATAAGATACTCAAATGTGTTATTTGATCCTGTTCCACTACCCTCTAAATAAGTCATTCAGAATCACAGAAGAAAAAAATTGAGCAATATATTTATTATTCTTCTAAACTCTGATTCAGCACAATGTATCAGAGAAAAAAGCTAAAAACACATGAATATAATCCATAAGAACCAAATCACCAAATTAGTTTTCTCTTGTTTTTATCAAATAAAGAGAAAAAACAAAGTCTAAAAATCCTCACTAAAATGAAAATAGACTGAGCAAGAGAGTGAGATAAAAAATATGAAAGAGAACACAATCTAGCTCTGTATGAACATTCTAAGTTATTTTAACTGTTAACTATTACATTGCTAGTTATTTCTAGTAGTAAAAATATTTTTAAATGCTTTTAAAATATAAATCCTTTTGAAAAGTTATTTCAAAACAGATTTTCATTTTCTACTACCTAACCATACTAATAAGATACCTATTGCTGAAAGCTATTGATATTCATTTTTCTCTAATAAAATGTGTTAATTTTAAGTTAAAATTTTTCATGTATTTTCAATGAAAACTAGCATCTTTGCTTTATATGAAAACTTGAGCTGAGCAATTAAGCTGGGAATGATTTATTTTTTGCTTTGCATAATGGTGATAGAACTTTAAAAAATGTGAATACCAACCCATTTCCAGCTTTTGAGTTGCCTTTGCTGTCCGTGGTAAGCTGAGAAAGCACATAGTGAGGTGCTTTGGCACTGTCGGCATCAAATATATCCATATTAGATTCTTCACAATCTCGTCGTTTGACCCCCGGCCTCTGCTTTGGATTTCGTTTTCGTGATTTACGAGGTACCTCAGTGTTATCATTGTAGGAACTGGTGCTCATGTTACTGAAGTTGGAGGGGGATTCCTCCATCCACATACTGCAGCTCTGCTCAGATTCCAATCCACACCCCTCATCCTGGCAGGACATCCGACTGTTATCCAGCAAGTCCTCAGGTGGTGGTGAGATGTACAAGACTGTGTGCCTCTTCGGTGTTGATGGATGCTGCTGGACTGTGTTACTGGTTAACTGCTTTTCACTTACCCCTCTGTTACTTACCCCCACGGCTGAGGAGCAGCTCTCCACTTGCATAGCCTTGCTGTCGGTGACTGAGGTAGAATAAATGGTAGGGCTGGAAGAGGTGGTAAAGGAGCTGCAAGCACCGCCCATGGAGGAAGAGGAAGGAGCTGAAGAAGCATCTGCAGTGTATAATTCAAGAGTAAATACACTATACATGTTTTCACCTATGTTGGCTAGCAGTCCCATTGAAAATGTGATTTGTGAGCTGATTGTTTTTCCCCAAAATGAATAGTTGGAATTTGGTTAAGTTTTAGAATATAAATGCTTTAAGTAATATAAGGCCTAAGAAATGCAATTTTTAAAAATGCCCAAATAGCATTATTTTACTTGTGTTATAATCGATAGATTTTTAAAATCTAGTTTGTCTTAAGCTGTAAAGCAAGAATAAAGTTTTTATTGCCTCAGCTGGATGATCTGTTGAATTTTAATCATTTAAAGTAATACAGAAAACCCCAATATGAAATATATGCTTGTGGTCCACATTCAATGCCAATTAAATAATTCATTATACAGAATTTGAAAAAGTGGGACTGTGCTTAGCCACAAAATATTAAAATAAGTTTCTAACCTATGAAGCAGAGAACTACAGGTCATTTTTAATGCAGACACTCCCTGCTTCAGAGGCAAATCCTGGAATAAAAATATGAGAAAATAAATGAGAAAAGAGCTGCTGATTATTCCAGATATCAATTATAAAATGAGAAATAAATAGAAAAAATATATAAACAACTGAATTGGAGGCAAAATGGAACTGGTACCGTCACTATGATGGGTTGTAAAATCTAGGAGACAAAGGTGAAAAGGATTTGTTCTGGAACATGCTGGGCTGTAGAAGATAAGCAAGTTAACCACTGAGGGTCTCCAGAAGTTGGAAGTGGCAGTTTAAAAACATGAGCTCCGAAATAAATAAATCCATCTTTTATGGGAGAGTAAGGACTAATTCCTGGATGGATTTCTCTTAAAAATACTTGATTATATACTCAGCAATTGGTTACCACTGTCCATTTCCTCTCTCTTTAAAGGGCCTACTTGATTTTGACTATTATGGGAATTTCCTAATAAAGAGAAACAGTAAACTTTATTGGCTGAAACTGAACAAAAATGAGTTAAGTAGGAAAATCTCTGGAGAGCACTAGAATTAGTTCCTATAAAATGGATTTTTATAAAACAATTTATTGAATCTATTATGCCTTTAAAAAAAAGATTTAAGTAGATCTTTTAAAAATGTGTGGCAACTGAAAATACTACTACTTTAGACCTTAACAGCATAACTTCAGAGGCACACTACTCTTGCTATGGCTGGAAGCCCTCAATCCTCAATTTTTAGAAATATCATTATATCTTGTACATAAGAGATGGAAAGGTTTATAATCACACACACACAAAATAAAAATAGATAACATGTGACAGACTAAAAGATCTGAAACTAAATTTTATCCATAGCCAAGTATGCCACTGTTTTAAAGTTATATGAAAAAAACTTATAACTGATTTGCAATTATTGGAATTGCAACATTCAAATCAATAATAATGTAAAGAGTAAAATGTCAGAATGTCAATATTTACATAATCAAAAGTCAAGAGCCAAAGATCTATTTTTTAATAGAGAAAAAATGTATCAAAACACTTAAATTATTTGAAAGAACTACACTCACCCATAATTTTTAATTGCTGTCAAGGTTGAAGAGCACAGTAATTAATATTAGGCATCGATAAGGTGATCTACATAATGCCACATAAAGATTTTCTTCCAACTACCCATAAGTCAAAGAACCTAGAACAATTAATTAGATGATACCAGTTCCATTTTCCAGTTTGTATCCTTCTCAAATGCAGTAGCTGAAATTGGAAAATTCAGTCACTTTAAACTGCATTCCAATTTAAAGAAAAATTTATCAATTTTGTATCATGCATTAATGCAATGTTTTCTTAGTAAATAATATTTTAAAAGATTTGTAAAAACTACAAAATCTAGATGCTAATGTCAGTGACAGTTTAGGAGCTGATTTGTAGCCACTTTGGGTTTAAACAAAGTTTTTTTCTTGTTTTTTGAAAAATACTATGGAATTCATTTTAGAAAAAATAGAAAAGGTATATGTCTAACATTTCTCCATCTGTTCCAACTATTGGAAAAAATTAAATTTTTGTGTGTATGAGTCTATGGTCTTCATTTTCAGAGAAATACAAGTGTGCAGCATGCAATATTTGCAGTGTAACACACAAAGCATGCAGCATGAATGCTGTGAACTTGTATTTCTAAAAAGCAACTTTCCCCCACTTTGAATCTAAGTATCATGCACATGAGAATGCAGAATATGAACATCTCAGGTATCCCTGTCCATGACAGATGAAATGTACCAGTGAAAAGCAACCATGAACTCAAAAGCAGGTTATGTGGTATTTATAAATTTAATATGCAAGATACAACCTAGCATTGCTCTTTGAAGTAAATACAATTTTATCTTGCAAATCTTATCAAAAACATTCATCATTATAAAACCCAGTTGATATAATCATCATACATAAATGTCTGTTCTGGGACAGGTATGCCAAACTGTGATATCATACCCTACATAAATTAAGATATTCTATACATTCTTCTTGGATACCTAACACACAATTACTGTATTTTACCTGCAGTTTCCTGGATATACTTATTAAATAAAAAAGTTCATTAGCATAAAATTATAAAACTTAAACCGTCAGAAGACAGCAGTAAGCATCCTTTGAGACATAGTATTTTTTAAGACTATCTGCATTTATCCTTAAATTACAAAGGCTCTACTCATTTTAAAACTGAAACAAATGAGATAATCTTTGTTAAACCATAAAACTCTTTAAAATGGTATCATTGTTGCTCTGATGATAATAGTGTAAAAACTCTTTCACATAATGCTGCTACATTCTGGTTAGCAAGAGCTCACCTAAGTACATCAATAATGCCAGGTGAGATGGTGAAGTGGCAAATAAAAACTGTGGGTCCCTTGAGAACATAGACAGTGTACCTTTCTCATCTTAGACCCTCCCAGCACCTACCATAGTACCTTGAGGTAGTAAAAATTCAATTTTTTAATTAAATTGATTTATGAGAAGCCAAAATTTCATATGTATGTCAAATTAAAATTAAATTGACAAATCAATATATTAATGTGTCCATAATGGACACATCAGGTTTTGTTTCTGTTTTTTAAAAAAACGATTTACTCAAAATGCTTAAAATACATATTACCATGACAGCATTAACTAATACAGAAAAATTACTAAGGGTTTAGAGGTAATTATTCGATATTTCTACAAAGAGTGCTCTAATAACTTTCTTTCTTAAAACTATAAATAAGCCAAATTACCTACTTGTACATTAATTCATAAATGTACTAAGAATAAAAAAACTTACTATTATTGCATTAAAATATGTAAAAATAACATCAACATTTTAGATTTCTGAATACTAATTTGTCATTTCCAAGCGTTTCCAGAAGAACACTAAAGAATACTCTTGGGAGCAATTTAAATGTATTAAATATATCTATAAAGACCTTTCAGTCACTATATCATTAAATAAAATATCATGAAACAACTTAACTGACATTCTATAGAACTGTTAATGCAATCTTGCCCCATCTATACTTTTTTATTTATACATACTTGCAAACAAAATGTTAATGACCTCCCCTTTTTTCTTTGGTTGAGTCTCCATTTTTATTTGTTAGGAATTCAGGGACTATAATTGTTGCATATTAAAAATAAAGCCACTCCAACGTAAAAATATTTCAATGACTTATTTTCTCACCGGGCAGAATAGTTATGATGTATTTATGTACTTTTATTTGTTCCTTAAATCTCTCACCAATTCTTTATAAAGTTGAAAGTTAAACCCTTTTTCTTAAAATTATCCCCTTATCTAAGCCACATGCAAATACATTTTTATTTATTTTTCTTATCGTTGAAATGAGTCAAATTTGCATGAAGAATTTTATTTTTCCATAGCATTTTCTTTGACTGCAGAGAACACAATGAACCAAAGGGAAAACTGATAGACAATTCTACAACTGACTAATGGAAACGTACAACCTCAAAAGAATAGATTAATTCTAGAATTTGTAAGTAAAGGGAAGCATCATTGCCTATAGTGTCCTATATCCAAGTCTAATAATTCTACTATTGGCAGTAGCCAATTATCAGACCAAATGCTAACAATAATTGTGAACCTGAACTGTATACATGACTTCTTCTGAAAACTGATCAAATTATTAATTAATGTCTACAATAAACATTCAAAGCAGCTGGGATAAAAAGAGTGGCAGATAGTATCTACATGGAATACATGGATATGCCAGAACTTGGAAGTATTATTAATTTGATAAAAAGGCTGAAAATTGACTTTAAGTGGTACTGCATATAGAAACCAATGTAGATTTTATGTATCTCTCACTTAAACTATATTTTAAAGTTAAGAACTATTAGTTCTAGACTTGTCAACTAGAAATTATTTTAACTACCGTAACATTTTAGTATGTAAAATATCATTAAAAAAGATGCTACTATATATGGAACTTAACCAAACTTCTTATAGAAAGCCTTGAAATAAGAATTATCCTTTAAAGTCCTTAAAATAAACAAACACCTTTCATTGATTAAATGACATTTAACTAGGCTTCCAAAGTCAAAATCTGATCCCTTGCATTTAAATAGGCACATATAATTTATAATAACATCAGTGCACAATTAGTTGTTTCCTAAAAATTCCATTAAATAAAATTTTGCAAGTGTGTTAAGTGAACCAATAGTGGAACGGACAAGGAGTGAACTATTGACTATTCAGAAAATAATCATAAAAAAAAACACAAGATGTTTGGAAACAATTTCTGGTCTAAAACACATATTGTTCAACTTTAATGATTCTTTTTATGTATTACATTTTTTTTTTTTTCCTGGCAACAATGATTTCAAATCTAAACATCTTGTTTGATAAAAGTCACCAGATACAAGGACGTATTTTCAGATCAAAGCAGAGAGATATTCAAAGGAAAAAATTATAAGGCCAACATTCACGTTGCCAAAGGACTGAAATATCAAGAACACACAAAGTGGCTGCAAACCTGCTTTGTCAACACCTTAC